CATATTTGATTATTTCTTAAAGGGTTTAGATTTATTGGACAGTAATTGAAGCAGAGGTCTGGCTGCTGCCCCTCACATCATGTTAAAAGCAAGATCACTTCTACATTCCTCTGGAAAACACATTAATGATAATTAAGTCAGCCCGACTCGAATGAGTAACTTTTTATTTTACTACTTGCTGCGTCAGTGCTTCAGGGCTAGGGGAGGATGGCAGGCAGGAAAATTGATTCACAGGCTATTAACTAGGACACTGTGCCCACTGCCACTGAATTGCCTTTAAAATAAACATTCTGGGCACTGCATAAAGGACAGCACTTATTTTTTGTGTATTGCCAAATCCTTACTTAAAGTTTCTATAATCAACATTTCGTTTTTTTAAGGTCCCCCTCCAGACACATTTGTAAAAATTAAGATTAATTCCTTGTCTAACATAATAAGAAAAAAAACTTTGAAAAGGGGCTGGAAGCATATCTGTGCTTACTTCCTGACTGATAAATTCTAGATCAAGCTTCATACCCACCCCCAGTCTGCAGGTTCATGGGATTGGATCCTTTGGTTTTGTGGCATATGAACCCAAGGCTGTCTGAAGCCAGAGACTGTCATTGGTTCACTGCATTTGCACTGTGGAAATACTCAGTCACGTTGTTGACTGTTTATTTAACTTATGATTTGTCTTGTATCATATAAAAACAGACATGTGAACAAGGTTAACAAGGTTAAAAACTTGATTTTCATCAGAGTGGGTCTCTAACAAAAGATGACAGATGTGTCATATGTGCTTGAATCCTTCCACCTTGAATTGGTGTAGACTAAAAGAGCATATATACTTTACTTCATTGTCTCCTGTTGTTATGTTATACAAAGCATTTTAATGCTCCTCCATAATCAAACTATTTCACTCGGTCAAAAATTCCATTTAGCAATGTTCCTATCTGAAGAGCACACCCACAGCTATGATAAGCCTGTTGCCTCAGTTTACATCTCAAAGAGCCTTGAAAAAAAACACAGTCAAGCTTTTATGTGATTAAGATAGAAGAATAAGTATTTTTCCCAGAATGCATTTTGACATGCCACAGCAGTTTCATGGTCCTGGTGTTGTACATGCTGGCTCATTGTCACAGGTTGCAACACAAGTTGAATCACCACAATAACCTGCTTACTCAAAAATAGCTCACATGCACTCCGCAGAAAGCTGATCTGTCGCATTCAAGGGAAAGGGTGTCGCTTAAGCTCATCCACAGAGATACATGATGGTAAAATGGACTGTTCTGATCAGGCTGCAAAGTTTCTCTTTAGCAGTGTTTCTCAAAATGACAACATTAGCTGCCGGCCTGTACATGAGATTGATTATTGCCAACAGAAGACAAAACTTTCATCCAACAAGCCACAAATGTGAGCTTTTACTGATATGCGCCTGTCTTTTTGTCTGAGTTTTCACATGTGCAGCAAGGATTAGTGAGAGAAGAAATTAACTGACACTGAATGTAAAGTGATTGTGTGGATGTTTCTGAGATTTGTTACAGGTCAGTGATTTCAGGGCCCAAATGTAGACACACAAGTAAGATGCACGGCAAGTAGGTGCAATGAAGGTACTTTAATAAATGAACAAAACTGGCTTACAAGGAGCTAAACTGACAAGCAGAAAGAGGAATCCAAAAAACAGGTAATCCAGTAAGTTGGAACAGGAACGCAGAAACATCAGGAATACTAGGAACAGGCACAGGAACGCTAAGGAACTGGTACAGGGACCCTGTGAATCAGGGGCAGATGTTGGCCAGGCCACAGACTGGATACCAGAAGCAGGCCAATGATGAGAGATCAGGAGCAGCTGTTGGCTGGATCACTGACCAGGAACCGGGAACGTCAGTCAGACCGTGAACTGGAGCTCGGCAGCAGGCTTGGCATCAGCTGTCTCAGGAACACATGAGAAGTCGGCTAGGACAGGCTCAGGAGCAGGCAAGTTGCTGGGTGGGACCCTCGATGCAGGAACAGGTGAGATGTCAGCCGAGACCCCCGATACATGAACAGACAGCACGGGTGGCCAACTCAGGGTCCAGCTGGGTGTCAATCATTGCGTTTGGCTGCAGAGTTGCAGCTGAGTGTCTGTGGTGCTTGGCAGTTTCGGGGATCAATGTTTCTGTGGCCCGTGCTTCTGAGGCAGTTCTAGCTTGTATGGTGCCCTGAGCGAACGCACCAATAAACGTGTTCTTAAACATGTCAAAGTCCTCCCAGGTGAATGGAGTTGGTGTGCTGGATCCAAGTCAGGAACATAAGGGGATGGACCCAAATACAGAACCTCAGAGGCTAATGCAATAAAGGAACATTAATGAAAAGACAGGGTTGCAGGTACTCCGGCTGGCAGACAAGCAGGCATATGCAGAACTGGATGCAAACCAGATGATCCAAACTCGAAAGTCTCTGGGCAACCAGATGGACCTGAACAGGAAACACAAGCAGACACACTGACAAAGAGTTAGAGGAACACAGACTCAATGCAGGAGGAGAGGAGGTAACAAGATGCAAGTGCAACACATTATGATGGAACGGGTAATCAAAGAGATGGGAGACAAACTGGCGCAGGAAGTAAAACAACAACAAAGACATAAGTAAAGTCATTTCAAAATAAAAGAAGAAATAATTAAACAGAGCCCAGGCATGAAGTCACTACAAGGGGCAGATCATGATGAGGTGACCATGCATGCACCTCCACCTCTTGAGTCGACTTGCCACACAGTAGCTCTTCATAAACAAGGCATCTAAGGCTATACCATAACGTGCAAGATAAAGCTAAAGGTACACAAGTGTAATAATAAGTATAACAAATTAGAGCAAGATCTAAAACTTTTTATTTCAAATAACACACAAAAACTGTCCTAATAAAAACCAGAAATACTGAAAGATGTGGATGGAGCCCTTAATGGAGGAATGGGTTGTTCTCTGTGGTATCGTGGAGGAGTGCTTGATGAAAGGATTCTAATGAAAAGTTTTTTCTCTGTGTTGAAGATGCTAGATGTAGGCCTGGTGCTGGACTGTAGTACTGCTGACCCCTCTTCTTTTTTCTTGAGGACATCTGCAAAAAACTTTATAAACCCATTACCATTGCTGTATACACAAGGATTGAGACATACACAGGCCCAGAAACTGAGCTCGCTAGGGAGGGTTTGAAGGCCAAAAATGGATAACAAGAGCTTGTCAGCTTGTTGTTTTATACACTAATTAATAATAATACTATATCATGACACTATAATTATACTTGGTTTGTTTTGAAGTTAAATTGAGCCCATGGGTTCCACTGTAATTACCAAAGAAGATCTCTGTGGTATATCTTTGTGCCCACACTGTTTGAATGTGATCAGGTCAGTTAGGTTTTGTTTGTGCTGAACACCAGAAGAACATAATGCTAATCCCATCCTCAGCACTGCAAAAACGTGTCTCTAAAAACAAGAAAAAACAAGCAATAAAATGGAATGCAATAAAAATAAAATATTACATAATAGAAGCAAAATTATCTGCCAACAGAACAGGAAGCTTTCACTTGCCTGATGTTAAATAATAATAAACTTAAAACAAGTGAAATGCTCTAACATAAATAGAAGAATAAATATCTTGTCAGACAAAAAACAAGCACATAATGCCGTGATTTTAGATTTCCCTTTTTTTTTATATACCTGCTCTTCATCACCTTCTCTCTTTCTTTTTCTTTGTCTCCTCATCTTGTCCTGTAATTCTTTCCTTCCCAAACCTGAGCTTTGATTGATGCAGTCATTTAATTTTCATCTGTCACAGACGAAAGTAAACACTGGTTCACTTGATATCTATGTAGAAATACTACCGGCCTCCGCTGGGATAATCTTGTAATGAAAATAAAAAAAACATATAGGGGTTTAACATGGGTTTCAACCTTTTACATAAACTGACTTGAAAGTTCATCAGTCCGACATATGATGGATGGCAATAATATAAACCAGCTAGTTAGTTAATTCACTCAAGTTAAACTAACTAGCTGGCGTATGTAACGTAGCGCAACTGTACAACAGCTGCCAAGAGACGCCTTGAAAGGTAATGCACAACAAGCAGTAAAATTCTCTTGCAACCTGTATCACGCTGCGGTGGATTCAGCCGCCTGTCCAGTTTGTTGACATAATAAAAAGAACAACTGTGTTGACTAAAGATCATTCACTCCACCCACACACACACACAAGCAATGCCGCTGCTGATCAGATGGGGAAGTCTGTGATCTTGGTCTACAATATTTTTGCAGCACCAAAGTAGAGTTATTTTAGGCAGTTATTATATACACCTCAGAAAAAATGCAGAGGTCCGAACCTCGGTGACCTCAGGCGGGGTACAGCCATGCCCAACGTTGAGGTCCATTGTAACATGAGTTCACTTAAATCACAGAAAGTAAGAAAAAGGAGCCGAACTCTAACCCTGAACATGGAGAGTCCTCGTGTCTCCTAAATAAGGTGGTTAAAGGCCTGTCGACTACATCATCATTTTCTGGACAAAACAAGACAAAATAACACAATAATCTCCACAATCCCTACAAATAGTTTTGTTTGATATAACCTGAGCACCAATGCAGTGTTATCAACTTTGTTACCTACCTCCGGATGTCAATGCATGTTGCTATAGATCCTCTTCGAATCCAGAGTCAGTGCCGAAGGCCAAGGAACAATGCCCGAAACATTCCTCTGAAGTCATGTAAAACTAGAAGAAAAAGAGATTTTCTCATTTACGTTGCATTGATATAACCAGGTTATTTGAGGATTGCTGAATGAAATTTAATTATTTACCTTATAAAAGTGCTTCTCAAGGTGTGGATGTTTTGATTGACATCTCCCTCAACCTTCTGTTGGTCTTGTTGAACCTGTTAGGGTGGGACAGCTTACACTTATGCTCAGGTTGTAGGGGAGGCAGTGGTTCCTACAGCTCAGCCCTTGTTCCTCCAGGCAACCCATTTATAAAATATGTATGTATGTATGTATGTCTTGTCGTAGGTACTATGTGTGTGTGGCCATCCTGATCTACTTCCTTCCTCTGCTGGTGATGGGTTGTGCTTATCTGGTGGTGGGACTGACCCTGTGGGCCAGTGAGATCCCTGGAGACTCTTCTGATCGCTACAAGGAGCAGCTGACCGCCAAACGCAAGGTAACGCGCACTTTACATGGCGGGGCCACAGCATTTTGGATTGCCATTCAGATTAGTCCAACCTTGTCACGTGCACTCACTTTTATACGCTGCAGCCCTGAACAGGAAGACCCTACAACTTTCATGTCTCATAAAAATTTTTTTTCCTCCGTTGATGAAATAATCAAAGCAACATGAACCTGAATCCGTCTCTCCTCCTATCCTCTGGTCTTTGGAGGTTCTCCAGACAAACTGTAGTCTCTCTTCACTTTCCGTTTTCACCACCCGCTTTCCTCCTCTACCTGTTTCTCACTTGTTCAGCCATCTTTCATGGTCCCTGTTTGTCAGGTGTGTTCACAGCTTCAGTGTTGCATTTTTTTTGTGAAAATACTCTCCTCATGAAGACATTGCAGAGACTTGCCCCTCTGACACTAGAATATAAAATGAGAATCCTATGAGGTTTAACAGACATATTTACTAAGGTGTCTCTTCCACTGATTACATCAGCCCCGCAGGTCAGTCTGTGAACATTTGATATGTGTTTTTGGAGCGCTGATACCACTTACTCTCTTTCATTCTGTTTACTTTAGTTCTCTGTATTTTACATTGCTCCTTCACTTTACACCTTGCTTTGATTAATTTGTTTCTTCATTCATCTATTTTTAACCATACGAGTTTATAGATGGACACATGAGCTGGTCCACCACTTTGCTCCAGATTGAAATGTCTCATTTACTACTGGATGAACAACAATGCAATTTTGTAGTGACATTCCTGGTCCCCCTGTGCCGTGCTCTGCCCTTTTTCCTGTTTTATTTTGAAATGATTTACTTTGTGTGTGTGTTGGTTATTTTACTTTGCCTTGTGTGTTTCCCACCTTTCTGATTGCCTGCGCCATCGTAATTAGTTTCACCTGTTCCCAATTAGCCTTTCCTTCCTCATGTATTTCTGTGTAGCCCTCCCTGTCAGTTCCTCATGTGCTTGTTATTCAGTGTTTTGTGTGCTGTTCCTGCCTTTTTGCCTGCCCATCAACTCATCAGCCCGTGAGCTTGTTTGTTTTCATCATTAAAGTATCGTCGTGTGTCTGCATTTGGGTCAAGAGATTATTGAACTGTAACAGTTTGGACTCACCAAATATGGACCCAGCAGACACATCTTTATAATACTATAGAATACTAACAAGCAGTTCTGAGCAGCGTGTGCAGGGAAATGTCAAAAAAACCATTGTTAAAGAATTTGTTGACAGGCTTAAGGACTTTGTTAATATCCCTGATTCCCAGCCAGTTACCCCCCAGTCTACTAGAAACACCCAGCCTTGTTAACCTCCAGCCTGTCTCCCAGCCGTTTGTGTTTACTAACCTGCTGCCAGCTCTAGAGTCAGCTAGCTCTACCAGCCTTCTTCCAATAGCTAGCTTTCAGCCTGATTCCAAGACAGCTAGCTCCCTTTCTGGACCTCCAGCCTCATTGCCGGCCTCCAGAGTGATCCCACCTACTTTGGCGTCACCCAGAGATACAGCCTCCTGACTTCCAGACCTCCAGACAACCTTCGCTCCTGCCTTTGCCACAACCCACCAGAGTAGTGCTGCCCCTTTCCCTGCCTCCGCCTGTCTGTCCGGCCTCGGGACCAATCGACTGATATTCTCAGCTCTTCTACCATCGGGCCACCCTGCTCCGCCCCCGCCCAGTCCTCAGGCTGTTCCCCCTGAGATATTCAGCTCCATTCCCCAGTCACCTGTCCACTGGTCCCTTGGTGGTTGATAGAAAAACATTTCAGAACAAACAAGCTGCGAAAACACTAAAAGACCTAAAGCATAATTGTTAGATTTTCTGTATGTGCATGTCCATTCCCATTTGAGAGATGAAAAGTTCAAAGCTGCTGAGTTTTTTCTGAACGGACAGCGTTGTTGCTATTTGTGTGGCCGACAGAGAGGCTTGTTATAGCAATGAAGATGAACGCTGAGTCCTCGGAGGAGACAATCAATGCAGGGCAGCATGTCTCATCAAAAGATGACCAAAACAAGCTTAAAAGTCACAATACCTGCTGTATGATGTGATTGATGCGTTTCTCTGACAGGTTTTTACATTTATTATACATTATAATGAGGCAATTACATGTTATACTTTTTAGGACAGGTTCATTGTACTGAGATGTCTTTTGACAATAAACAGTAAATAAGTTTCTTTTTAACTTATTTATTTGTCATACTCTGACCCATTAGCCTTTCTGACGCAGGTTTAACTGATGAAATACAGAATTGTGGGTAAAAAAAAAAAAAGTGGGTAATCAAAACAGTAGAAATGAAGACAACGCGGTGCTGTCTTGTGTCCAACAGGTGGTGAAGATGATGATCGTGGTGGTGTGTACGTTTGCCATCTGCTGGCTGCCCTACCATGTTTACTTCCTGCTGCACCAGTTCTTCCCTGACATGTTTGAGGAAACGTTCATCCAGCAGGTCTACCTGGCCATCATGTGGCTGGCCATGAGCTCCACCATGTACAACCCCATCATCTACTGCTGCCTCAACGACAGGTGAGTCAGCACACCCACACACACACACACACACAAATATGTCACTATGTTATTGTGCATTATTCACTTACAGCAAATTCTGAAATACTCAGAACTTTAGCAAGATGAACCAGGTCTTTATTTTCTGTGGAGGACTTTGTTTTTCCAGTTGTCCATCTGATGCATGTGACAGACACACTTCTCTTTCAATTATTCCATTTGTCTACACAGCTCATATAACGGTTCATGTTCATATACTTGACCGAGAGCGTAATAGAAGTCTAGTAGTCTCTGCTTCATGTGCCTTACTACAGTGATTGTGTGTTGGCCACTAAAATGCAGGTGACCTACACACAATATTGTGCTTCCTGTGTAGAGATGATATTAGATAAGAGACGCAAACAAGATATTATCTCATTTTTGTTTTGCTATTGTTGCTGTTTATGTAAACTCCAATTACATCATGTCCTCCTGCCGTCTCTAAGTTCTGAATAATGTACATTTCACAATAACATAGCGTTACATAACATAACATTTTCTGTTCATTTTCAAAATACTGTGAATAAGAAAGTGCAGAACACATTCTGCATTTTAACACAGCTAGTTGCCAACCAGCGGTGTCTAGTTATTCTCCAGTACACTGTAGGGCTGTCACTTTTTATTCAAAATTGGAACTACCATTCAAACATGGGAGGAGATGACTATTCAGTCTTTAATGACCAGTTCAATATTTACAGTGGATGAGCCCAATGAGCTGTGCCATGCACTCCAACCGGGAGCTTTCCTAAAATGCATTGTCCATCTGACATGGGTTTAAGACGCCAACTACAAACTGTGACCATTGTTAGTCAGATCAGGGATCTTTGTTGGACCTCTTTCTCCTTCATTTCTGGTTATTTTCCAAATCGTCTCTAATAAAGGCTAAAGGCTATTTATGGCCCCAAGCAACCTGACTTTTTCATCTAATGCCGTCTCAGTTAGACTGACGAGGAAATGCAGAGCAACTGCAAAGGAATGTAACAGCATCATGTTGGTTGTGTTTGAATTCATTCAAACCTGAGTTATTACGTAACACTATTGGATCCGTATTTTAACGCAATCGTGTTACCTATTACTTAGAACTGTGTTATGTTATTTTGAATTCATTCAAACTTTATCCATCAACCATCCCTTTTCTTCGGCTTATCCGTGGTCGGGTATTCCGGGGGTATTCCAGATGTTCCTATTCCCCTGTCCTCCTCTTGGGGTATCTCGAGGCCTTCCCAGATATGTAATCCCTCCAGTGAGTTCTGGGTTTACCCCGGGGTCTCTTCCCAGTTGGATGTACCCAGAAAATCTCTTGTTCCTGACCTCCACCAGACATCCCAGTATCTGTCTGCTGCTTCAGGAGACCCCTGGGCCAACCAACCCTGAAAGGCCTTCTTCAGCCTGATGGCTTTCCTTAGGTTGCCACCTCGACAAGTACCGATGACACAGCTCCTACCCACGGCTACTGCAATGAAGGCTTTGAACATGGTCTACTCAGTCTCCATGTCCCGAACCTCCCTTGGGATGCATGAGAAATTCTTCTTAAGCTGGGAGTTGAAGACCTCACGGACAGGAGCTCAACCATGCCCCGCCAGGTTTCTCTATCGTTCCCTACGTGAGTACTGAAGTCCCCCACCGAACTACAGAGTCGCCAGGCAGAACCCTTTCCAGGACACCACCCAGAGACCTCAATGGCCAGATACTCCGAGTTACTGTTCGGTGCATATAGCACACACAACACACCCGCACAGAGGCTGTCACCTTGGGCAAACTCCGGCCCCTCTCCAGGAGATGGTGGTGACTCACGGAGCTACCTTGCCTTCCGTCTGATACTTACAAAACATAAGAAAACAACATTACTCTTTAGAAAATATAGTATTTCAAAGTTGAGTCTACATTTTCTAGTTCAAAGGGAAAAAGATACAGTTTGGTTATACTATTCATAAGTGCATTATCTTCATTTATTCATTACAGTTCCGATATAGACCCCTCACTGGGGATTCTTTTCTTATATAGACTTATAAAGAAGAATTTTCATTTCTAAGGATTAGAAATGTGGATGTTGAATGTAATGTCTGTCCTTAGACAAAATAAAATTAAACTTTTTTTAAAATAGACAAATGACAAATCAAACACAGAAGGGAAAATGTTTTTTTTCCTTGGTGAGCAGCAATTATTGTCCTTCAGGACTGTAGCCAATGAGACACACACGCACACACACCCACACACACACACACACAAACACACACATACGCACACACATCAACAAAATGTCAATGAATTTAAAGATGGTTATTTGGCAAAATAAAGACAGATGGTCAACTCTGCTTATTGTCTGTAATCAATCATCTCCCATTGTCTCCCCATCGCAGCCACCTGTTCTGTGCTGTCAGGGAAATGAGATTTCACACTTGGGTGTTTTCACTTCTGAAATTCATGAAGTACTGCAAATGAAACTATGCGGGTTGGACCACCATGAGCTGAGATTCAGTCATCGTTTGGTACAGGATATTGACTGGCTTTTGTGTCTATCAGTTCAGCCAGTTTAAATTCAAATGCGTGACCGATGGTCCTCACTTTCTATCAGTCTCTTCTCATCTCTCTCCTGGTCAACGATTGACATTTTCCCTTTTCCCACCTCCGTCACTTCTCTATCTGGGTTTTGTGTTTGTGTGTTTACTGAGGGAAAGTGTTTCCTATGAGTTTCCAGTCCCTTGTAATTTCTACATTTCAGATGCAAAATGCTTATTTCTCTCATCTCTTCTCTCTGTGGTTTTAATGCAACATTTGAAAATACTTTTGGCATCTACATTAACACCTGCCAAACATCTGCAACACACCAAGAGCTGGTAAAATCAGTGAAGGTCATCAGTTAATACCTCATGCAACATTTTGTTTTAATTAACAGTAGAATACCTCAGTTACACAGTCTTTGCGCTTTGCCTGTTTTTCACATTATATCTGTATTAACCATTGTGCTGCCTTAATCAGAATACTAATACTGTATCAGTCAGTCTGCCACACTGTTACTGCGGTTCTCTGTCAAGCTGCAGCACATAGTAAACAGTCTTGTCAGATTGGGAAGATTTCCAAACTGGCAGCCTTTGATTGTGTGAACTAAGAAAAAAAAATGTTTTCAGCTGAAGATGTAAACGCTGATTTGGTTTAGGATCACTATGATTTATGTGAACTGCATTTTATGATCATCTAACAGAATAACACTTCACCAGCAAATGTGCCATTCATTTTATAATATAAATGTAATATAGACGCATTTTATGTCATCCCTATTCATATGATCTTCATCCCCGGCATGATACTGACAGATAATGATGAGCTTATAGAGCGCATTATGTTGTATTCCCTTTGATGTATAACAATAAATGTTAATATCACAGGTGTCATGTGCATGCTGTTTGAAAGTAATCCAAAGCTAAAGTCTGCTCCCATTAATGTTTTTTGTATCTATAATATCTAGAGGATCTTTTCAGCATTTGGATTGTTCCTATTGGATGTAAAAGCTATAAATGATATTTTTATAATATCAGTGATTCAAATGACGATATAAAACATGTCAATGTCAAAGGGAGAGAATTATCACCTGAATCTGCTGCTCCCCCTCGGTTTATAAACTCTTTCATTGAAAACAGCTGTAGTTGGAACCAGGTTGATGAAAACGGTGCAAGTCAACCAAAACATTAAGGTTTAGGGCTGTAAAAGCAAAACAATGAGCTTCAGGGGAACTGCAAGAGTCTGGTGATAAATGTATGAGTTTGTAACACCTTTCCCATTACTTGTAAACATTTGACAAGACAATATCAGATTTTCTTCATCTGAGTTTATAAGCAATAAAAAGCACCGTAAAAGCAATTCAAAATGATGCCACAGCAAAATTGCTTGATCTGTTCCGACCATTGGCTTACAGTGGCTAATTTTAACTAATGTTAGCAACTTACTCTAGATATTGCTGTATAATAGATGTTGTGCACACACATGTTACTCTCTTGATGATGAAGATTTAAAATAAAAGTGAAATACTGCGCCAGATTTTTTGTTGGTCAATCTTAAAGTCACTGTCTGCTGCCTCAAGATAGCAATGCGCCAGCAATGCACCTGACCACACCTCATTTTAAGACCAACACGCCCATGGTCGCTCAGAGGGGCGCAAGTTTATTTGCTTTTCAAATAACGTGGGTGCAGAGCGGCAAAATCAACAACTGCGTCGGTCTGAAACTAGCAAAGACACTTGTGTTTTGCTTTGTGTCAGATGTAAGAAAGAGCCACTAATGCCTTCAGATGACTGTAAAGGGAGGTAATCAGCATGAAAGCGGAGCCTTCATTCATGTGGGTTACTGTTGTGGCAAGTATTTTTTTTTTTGCCACAGCAGTAAATGTGTGTGTTTGTTTGTTTTTTTCTTTCGTTTCAGGTTTCGTGCTGGTTTTAAACAAGCCTTCCGCTGTTGCCCCTGCATCCTTCAAGGCTCCTACGAAGGCCTGGAACTCAAGTCCACTCGCTACCTTCAGACCCAGACCAGTGTTTACAAGGCTAGCCGCATGGAGACAACCGTGTCTACTGTTCTCCAGGTTGGGGACGACATGGAGCAGCCCAAGGTCAAGGCAACAGCAGGTCAAGGGCCTGGTGGGGCTGGAGTCGGTGCCAGGCCACATAGCTCCTCCCTGGACCTGACCTCGAATGGGTCATCATCCCGGAGCGTCTCCAAAACAGTATCAGAGACGTCCAGTTTCTACTCCAGTAACAACCTGCAGGAATAGACCTCAAACACAGGAGGCATTTTGCTGGATATCAGAGAGTGAGTATGAGTTGACTGTTCACATTGTTCCTTTTGCCTGCATCCATGCAAAAGTACAGTGTGAATGTGTGAGTTGTCTGCAAGTGACTGTGGCTGAGTTTTGGATGAATACATTTCCAGTGTGTTCACTGGAACCATCATGTTACCTAATTTGCAAGTGAGACTAAATCCCAGTCCACTGAGTACTGTCCTCACCCACCATGCCCTTGTATAAAGCACTAATGCTTCTCACAGCTAATGATAAACTCGCATTAGGAAGTTTGCTCTGTGCCAAAAAGTGATGATGAGCATGTCGACGACATGAGCACATTCCAGTTCAAAAGCTAAACTGAAGCAGACGCTTGCGCCTCCAAACTTAACGGCTTCTGCTTGTCACACCAGCCTTCTCTCAGCGCAGAGAAGGTTCACACATCCTCAATCACACAAGCTGTGTGACTTCACAGTCTATTTAGAGAGGAGCTATAACATGAGACTAGCATGCTGTGAACACAGCAGCTTCTCGTTCTGACTGGGGTGTACTCTGCTGAAGAGAGAGCTCTGCTTTTCAGACAGTTCTCTACACCTCTTGTAGAGAAAACCTGGTTTTCACAGGAACTCTCTCTCCAGAGAAAACATGTTGAAAACACAGGCAGATGTGTGGTTTCAGTTGAAAGGCTCTCCCAGAAGAGGTGATCAAGACAGAAAAAAAGTATAATAAAGTATAAACCCTGAACTTTGTATGTGTGAGCGTGTGCATGTGTGTGTAAGAGCCGATCAGGATGCCAAGTCTATCTCCCCCAAGCAGGAGTTCCTCAGCAATCCGTTGTGCAACACGGGTGCCTGTCTGGCTGACGAGGCGCTCTGAGGATCTCCTGCAGCCGTTGCTAAAAAGTTCTGGCAATCACCTGAAACGACAGCAGCTTCTGGCTCAGCTTTCAACCGGCTACACATTGGACACTGGCTTCAACAGCTGGGAGCATCATCTCTGAAATGAAGAGGTGCTGAAGAGGCAACAGCAGACCTGAAGCGAACACAAGCGTTTTACCAGAAGATTAATTGCCCAATATGAAACCCAGATTCAGTCCCCCATTACACTATTAAAGCCAAACAACACCGGTAGGTAGCTCTGAGCTTGATCTGCAGCAGAAGGGCAGCGGATGATCAAACAGGATCAAATCAGCTTCACAACAGTATCTGTCCTATTTACTATGTCCTACTTCCTGTTTGTCTAACCTGCTCCACCTGTATCAGACCCACGACACCAGGTCGTGATCTGAATGTAAGGCACCACTTTCAAAATGTGAAATATTGATGTGACTCTCATTAGCTGCTCTAAACCTTCCACCTGGCACTAACATGCACTCTGTGTCTTAATATGATTCAGCTGGATTACATTTACAACTTTTACCATTTGCACCTCATGTTAATGTGTCTTCAGTACACGTGGTTTTATTTTGTGCGAGTTTTCTTGGTATTCTCACCTCTGACCTCCTGTCTGGGCGCTTTCAGTGATCAGTTCTCGCTGTCGCTCCATCTAAATGTAATCCGGCTGTACAAGGTGAATGTTAATATCAGGTTTAAAGGGCTTCGTAGATGTTTCAGCCTGGACTTTGCACAGGCAGCCTGTGTAGCTGTGTAGTGTAGCTCTGTGCAGTGATGTGCCTTGCTGCTAAAGCATAATGTCTGTAATAGTGTGAGGGGAGCGGAGAGGGAGCCCGCTCTGCTTGGGTCCAGGAAGAGGACGGTTAGATGACAGGGGCTACGGAAAGCCCACTGGGACAACTGTCTTTCTGAGTCAAACTGTCTTAATACTGTGGCAAATAGTTTAAACTTCAATGACTTCTTTCAAGATAGTCACTTGCCACGTTTCAAGCACAGCTTTTTAAATTTCATAAAGGAAGTCGAGTTAATTATTGGAAGTAAGAATGTTTTTCTACAAAAACCCAGCAGTGAGCTTAATAACTAAATCCACAAGATTTACATATTAACTGTGAGCAGAACAAACACACAGGCTCATCAACTCTAAACAGTGAAGCTGTTATCAGACAACAATAGACACAAAGCATGAAAGACAACAAGTATTATTATTCTTGGTGAAGTATTTAAGTCTAAAACTCCTGTTTTTCCGGAAACAAGTTCTGACAACTCCACTCGTTTTGCCTTGGAAATAATTTCAATAGTCTCACATCATCATCAGGAAGGATTTATGAGACTCACTCTCAAATCAAATCATATTTCAAGATGGATATTCTTTGCAGTGTGCATTGCACAACACATACAGAGAATGATCACCTGACACCCATCAGTCTCCTTCCACACACACACACACACACACACACACACACACACACACACACACACACACACAGAGCACATTCACCCTGCTGACGCCTGGTCTATTCTCAGCACACAAAGCCTGTTGTTATAAATTCCACTGTCAGCTGACATGAAACCGAAGAGCAGATGCGAAGCTACATGACTTCATTGGAATTACAATGACGATCAGTATTGTATCACTTTATTCACCAAGTACGAGGCTTACGGGACTTTTTGTAAGTGACATGGAAACATATCAACAACACTAAGCGGAGGGACAACAGGAGGTCGCATTCAGTGAAGAGAGAAAACGAGGGACATACAACAGACATTAGATGGCGTAAAAAATGTTTTCATCATCACAGTTGATATTCCACTTTTTCATCGAGGCTTGAATATAAAAGTAGAGCTTTTAGGAGATTAATATCTTGGCCAAGTCAGTTCAGTGATGAGGACATCAGGATCATGGACTCTGTTACAACAGTCCAAAGCTCGAGGTCTAAAGCGTGTGGCGCACGTGCATTTAGGGCGTATCCATATCCACTTCTGATCATTTAATGGCAGAAAAAAATTGTGGCTGTGTGAGACATGTGGTTCAAAAGGGTTGTGCTTAGTCCCTTTATTATTCATGGGCGTGTTTTGGGAGTATCATGCAATAAACCAATCAGAGTGCCATCTCCCATTCCCTTAAAAATCCAGGTGATTGCACCTTGGCGGATTGCTGTTATAATGGCGGAATGCTTTCCTCTGCAGAGGAAATGGCTCTCTGTTCATAGTTGCAGTGCTCGCTCGCTCTCTCTCTCTCTATCTCTCTAATTGACTGGCATATTGTTTACGAGCTGTACGTATGTCCATCCTATTCTCGTGGACGCGATATCTCAGTAACGCCTTGAAGGAACTTCTTCAAATTTGGTACAAAAGTTCACTTCGACTCAAGAATGAACTGATTAGATTTTGGTGGTCCAGAGTCAAACATGAAGGTCACAGTGACCTCACAAAATGAGGTTTTGGCCTTGTGAACGCAATATCTCAAGAGGACATAAAGTGTTTTGGCGGAGGCATACAACCGTCCATCCGTGATTGGCTGACAAACCTTTGTAGGTATAGTCAAATCAATTCAACCTTCTTTCATGCAGTTTTGCCACTAAGGGACATAACAAAAAAAGACAAAAAGCAATACAAATCGGTACTGCCTTCAGATAGTGCTGGCCAGAAACATGGCTCCACTTTTAGAATATCAAGCATGACAAGTCCTTATGAGATTGTAGACAGCTTGGTATCACTTACAGTCAATGAGTTATTATTGTTTTAATGAGAAGTGCTTAAGAGGTGAAATTGGACAGACGGCTGTCCACTGGTAAAATGCTTCACCTAACTGTTGTGGTCACTTACAAAACTATTATGTTTTTTTTAGAATAGATTTGCGGCTGTTCGGGGTGATTCAAGCTGCATCCCTGAATCAATAATGCAGGAGGAAGTGAAAAGCGAAAAGTTAAGTCTGTCGAATTGTTTCCTCAATATGTCAGATAAAGGCAACAGCAGCAGATGCAGCAGTCACAAGCATTTTCTTCAAGAAATGCAGATATTCTAGTTATAGTTCAATCACAGAGGCTGAGAGCGAGAGAGCGAGAGAGAGAGAGAGAGAGCCTGGAGAGAGCAAGAGCATTGTGGTTGATGTTATTAGAACACACTCATCTGTTTACACTGTAAACGAGAGCCGTGATGCCTCCTGCCCTGATGGGATGATGTGGAGTCAGTGAGCTGGATAGGAAAATATTCTGTCTGTATAATGCTGTAAGTAGATTAGCTCATGCAGTAAGTGTTCAAGAGAGCATTTGTGTTTCCTGTTTGTGTTTCCTTGTGAGGACCAACAGCCCTCTGGAGGACAATGAGATGAGGACCATCCTCTATTGTAGGAGATTTGCTATTTTTAGTAGCGTTTTGTGGCACCCAGCAGTATCAGTATCAGTAAATATTGATTAAGATATCTTATTTAAAATATATCTAGCTCTAAATTAATGTGTAAATAACTTTTTCACCAAGCTATGGTGCTGAGTGGATGCTACCAGTGCTGTGATTATAGTTATTGCCATGGCTCTAACTACATGTCTACTTAGCTGTAGCTGTAATGTCAGCTGTTGCTGTGATCGTTACTGGCTGACTAATCTTTAACCTTGACCAAGGCAGAGCTGTAAAGCCAAACACTCCCACCAGAATGTGAACTTGTATCAGATATGACAGATGTTGCTAATACACCACAGGAGTTTGGGAAAAGCTTCACCACAACCCAGTCAAATAACCATTTTCACTGCACCTGCATGTTATTAGTGTTACACCATTAAAAAAATGATGTGTCACAGCCACAACAGTCATACCAGCCACAGCAATGATTATAGCAATGTCAGTAGCTATAGCCGTGTGCAGAGCCACAATCAGAGTAAGGGCTGCAGTCAGTCATAATAATTAGCCTACGGTTATCTTAACATTAGCCGCAAGACTTCCAGCCAAGTGACCATGGACACCACAATATGATTAATCACAAACATTAATAAAATATTTTTACTATGAAATAGCATTTATCATTAGGTCGGCGTGACAACTTTGTCATAAACTTTTACCTGATACAACTGCTTTAAATGCCAGCTAAGTTTTGTTTCAGTGCCTCAC